TCTCACTTTTTTCGGGTTTCTGGTTTTTGTCCTAGTTTCTGTCGGTTCATTTTCTGTTTTTAAGGCTTGTTTTTATCTGGTAGGGTTTTTATTGGTTTGCTTTTCAAAGCATGGGTTTTGTTCCAATTTAAGCAGTTTTTACTATAACGATTTTGACTTTCTTCAGGTTATTTTTTTTTATTTAAAAGAATAAATTAAATTATTTGTATCTTGTTTCATAATTGTTTCATAGTTAACCTGGAGGTGAAGAAGACGCCTGGAATGGCAAAGGGTGACTTTGAAATTGACCAGGAACTGTTTTTTTTCAAACTGGAAATATTCCTTTCCAAGAAATGTCGGCCTTTATTTTGTCTGCTCATGTTTTGTCGGCTTAGTTGCCACATCAAAGAATTGATTTTTTTTGTACGCAATTTTCAATGAAGTTGGTTTTAGGGTTTCACATTACTCGAGCACTTTTCAGTTTTACCAGTCTTGAATTGCTGTTTTTTTTAAGCTGAAAAACTATTCGGCTTGAATCCTTTCGGCTGATATTTAATCGGCTTAGTGACTTATTTTGGGGTCATTTCAAAGGAAGTATGAGTTTTATGCTTCATTCTGGATCGCATAAAATGCTAGAATTCTAAGAATATAATCTATTGTTTAAAGTTTTTTCATGACAACAATTATATTTTCGAGTCTACGGGAAAATAGTTATGTTTCGTCGGCTCAGTTGTCGCCTCTTAATTATTTGTTTTGAGTTTTCATAAATTGCCGTCTATTGTGTTTATGGACGTGTTTTCCGCAAATTGAACATGATTCCAGGCAATATTTTGATCTTTTTAAGTTTTTTTTGGAATTAGTGGCTTTCTCTTCCTGTATGCTAGCTTGCACTGCTTTTTACCCTTGTGATAAGCAAGCGTTATCAAACTGGAATATCCATTTTTTCTAGTTAGCAACTTGTTTAACAAAATCAGTTGAATCATTTCTGCAGCACATGCGCAATTTTTTGAAATTTCAAATGTAACCACTGGCTGAATACTAGTTACTGCAGGGTAAATTCATGGGGGACTTGAAACTTTTACAGTTTTTTACATAGTGAGTTTTTTTCCGGCTCAACTGGTGCCTCCTCAAAGATTGTCGGCCTTGTTTCCGCTTCGTAAGTTTTGTCCAGTTGCTAATTTGAATTTCAATTGTCTTGCTTGGCAGTTTTGTTTAGACTTATTATTTGTTAAAAACATGTATTATGAAAGTTTAACGATTTTTTTATTTTATTTTTTTTGAGACGCTTTAGAAAAAAATTAATACTTTTTGCAAAAACATGTTTTTGCTCAAAAACCTTTCTACAGAATTTCAAAAAAATGGCAAACATGGAGAAAACGTCTACGTTTTTTTTTGTGCCTGCATACTCCTCGGGTCTCTTTTTCGTTTCCCCTTTTGTCTACAGTCTTCGAGAACGTCGGGGGGATTTGACCGATATTTTTTGTCTACTCAAAAACTAACCTCAATTTTCAACACACAAAGTTGTCGTCTTCGGAAAAGTCAATTTTTTGATTTTTTGCAAAATTTTTTTAATACAATCAAAAAATACCCTTCTAAATCTGAGATTTTGGGTTCAATCCAAAAAACGAATTGTGTTAAGCTCCTTTGCATATGCTACTACGCCCTAAATTTTTATACAAAACAAATTTTGGCCCTCGGAAAAGTCATTATTTTGATTTTTTGACCGTTTTTTGAAACTTTTCTATCAAAATAATAGATTGGGTGAATTTCTTCTAAGCAAGCGGCTACCCTCTTTCTTTAAAAGAAAAAGTTATGATACTCGGAAATGGCAACACTGTTTTTTGACCATTTTTGGTCTTTTCTCTAACAATCATGCCAAAACTGATATCATGGGATTCATCAACCCAACAGGTTGTTGGAAGCTTCATTTGCTACGCCAGTTTCTGCTGGAAAAAAGTTATAGCCTTTAAACAAGTGAAAGCTTTGAAAATTGGACCATTTTTGGAAGTTTTTTTAATCGACTCGAAAATTATTTGCCAATTCTCAAGTTAAGTATTCAATCGAAAAATGCGGTTTTGGAAATTTCCCTGCTTTACCGGCCACGACCTGCGTTTAGAAGAAAAAAGTTACTAGTTTTTGAATTTTGACTTTTTTATAGAAACTTCTTTTATTTTCTTTAAAGTTACCCTATCAACTCTGAGACTAAAAATTCAATCGAAAAAAGCGGTTGCGCGAATTCTTACTACAGAAGAGGCTACTCCTCATTTTGTAAGAGATAAGCTAGGTTGTTAGAAAAATTCCAAAATTTTAAAAATTTTCATTCTTCTCACTTTAGTTGGGAAACAACTAAGATTTTGGGCAAAGTCTAATTTTTCAAATTACGCATTCCGTCCCGCATCAGTATAGCAAATTCAAAAATATTACATGCTTATATCTAGCTTTAGCTGAGCCCTAGGTGTCCTTCATCGAGACATACAAAAATTTTGGTTCACCTATTTTTTTTTCGACTCATGCTTTTTATGATTGTGTTGTATCGCAAGTGGTGCGAAGTTCTGCTTTGCCTCTGTAAGATATAAAAAAAACTTGTAAATATAAAGTTTTTTCTGTATTGTTTCAACTGCTGGGAACGTGTTTCCCTTTTTGGTTCTCGAAAATATATGAATAATCGATAATCAGCTGTCGGTAGCCTCTTTGCACTTGCACTTTTTTTTGCTTTGAGGATTTTGATATAGATATGTCAGACAATTCAATTCAGATAAATGACCCATTTTTCTGGCCCATTTTGTTCTGAAAATTGTTTGTTACGAAAATTGTTTGTTACGAAGAATTGAGTTACAAGTTTTTTTGAGTAATTTAAGTTTCAATTTTTAATAAAATTTTTCAAGTAATGTTTTTTATTTAACTAATTTTTTGTAGCTTTGTTTCTGTAAAACTTGTAACACTTTGGATTAATGTGCGCAGATTTTTTTTACTAGCCTGCGATTGTTTGCTAGCGATTAGCATGCGTTATCACTGCGGTACATACTTTTTATTGTGAACAATTTGTCAAAAAGAATTACTGAATCATTTTTTGAAATCTGCATTTTCGTCAACCAACAGACATTTGGCCCATGTCTGCGTATCAAATTCTCGTTCTATCATTAAATTTATTTTAGTTTGATTTTTTTACCAACTCCTGTTCGGTTTTTTGTTTATCGTTTTTTTTTTGCTTACTGGGCTTTAATGTTTTCATCGTTTACCTGATCAGTAACTGGCCCATAATGCGCTGCTGGATGAGCGAAATAAATTTCCTACGCAAGTGAGTTTTTTATGGTAATTTATGATTTTTTTGGTTTCGATGCAAATTAAATTATCAATTGTCCTATTCAAGACTAATTGAAACAAAGATTTTAAAAATTTTGGTAGATCTAGTTTTTCTCGACATTTCAAGATATTTTATTCCGATTTTCGGTTTTCGTTGCAATTCATGTCTGTTTGTTTGTCTTGCTATGTTTGTAATTATTGCAAATGATTCCAAGCTCCACTTTGCCTCTGTGTAAATTTGTTGATTTTTTTTGGAAATTTTCTATCTTATTTACACAACACTTGTATTCTTTATTTCAGTGGAACTCTCTTATTGCATCGCAGCGTTCTTTTGAAAATTTGTCGCGTTCATCTAAGCAACGTGTGCTTTGTTCACAGTTTTTAAGAGTCGATTAACGTAGTTCAGACTCTTATATAGGTCGAGATGATTTTTTTGTTTTTCGAGGAAAGTCTCAAGTTTTTTCTAGGCTCAAATATACTTTGCTTTGTCGAGGTTTAGCTTTTGATTTCTTTTTAAGTTCAGTTCAATTCCTGAATTTCCACGGGATAATTTTTTCAGATGCTGTTTTCTTCTATTGCAACGAAGTTAAGCTTCGCGAACATTATTTTCTGCTTCAATTATTGAAGAGCAGTTGCTAATTCACATTTTAATCAGACCACTCGCTCAAAATTTAAATATTATACAGTAAATCGATGTGAATTGAATTAACGATGTTTATTGAAAGTCGCAATTCATGTCTGTTTGTTTGTCTTGCTATGTTTGTAATTATTGCAAATGATTCCAAGCTCCACTTTGCCTCTGTGTAAATTTGTTGATTTTTTTTGGAAATTTTCTATCTTATTTACACAACACTTTTATTCTTTATTTCAGTGGAACTCTCTTATTGCATCGCAGCGTTCTTTTGAAAATTTGTCGCGTTCATCTAAGCAACGTGTGCTTTGTTCACAGTTTTTAAGAGTCGATTAACGTAGTTCAGACTCTTATATAGGTCGAGATGATTTTTTTGTTTTTCGAGGAAAGTCTCAAGTTTTTTAGGCTCAAATATACTTTGCTTTGTCAAGGTTTAGCTTCTGATTTCTTTTTAAGTTCAGTTCAATTCCTGAATTTCCACGGGATAATTTTTTCAGATGCTGTTTTCTTCTATTGCAACGAAGTTAAGCTTCGCGAACAATATTTTCTGCTTCAATTATTGAAGAGCAGTTGCTAATTCACATTTTAATCAGACCACTCGCTCAAAATTTAAATATTATACAGTAAATCGATGTGAATTGAATTAACGATGTTTATTGAAAGTCTTAAGTTTTTTGGACGGATTTTCAAAAATACTTAAGGGATTCGAAGCGATTTGCGAGAGTTGTATCAAAATCCTTTACTCGAGGACCTTTGGATTAAAGTCGCTCTCTTTATACTATGGTACGATTACAGAAGCATCTCTCTAGTAGCAGTAACATCCTGAAGAATTCTTTGAAGAATATTTTTTTAAGGCAGCTTCTCTGATTTCTCATGATTTCATGAACTGATGTGTATATATTTTTTTTATATTCTGAAAGTATCATTGCTATTTCGTGACTAGTTTTCGTGATTGATCATTGGAGAGCCTTTGCTTTCGCAGTTTAATTTTAATACCCCTCCCTGGATTTTTCTTTGGCTAGTCATTTAATCAGGGCTTGTTACATTTTTTTTCTGAAAAATATTTTGATCTCTCATGATTGCCTGTCAAAAGATTTTTTTAACAAAAATAGCAAGTTGTCTTTTATAATGATATAGTTACAAAAGTCAATATATTTTTCTCCATACAAAAATGTAGAGCATTATAATTACTATATTCAAAAATTGTTTTCTTTTGTTCAGTTTAATTAAATGAGTGACTTCGGGTGAGAATAATTTGCTTCCACATTTTTTCATTTAACTTCGCAGCAGTGTATCGAGTCTCAGGGATTGCTCTGGACTGGAGCCAAAATGTAGGAGAGTGGATTTTTCAACTGGTTGTTTGAAGTCGCATTCGATACAGCGGGGTGATTCTGCATGCCCAAAAGGGATCCCATGTTTTCCTGAACTTGTCCAAGTCCATTTTGATTGCCCTCAAGTTTCATTTTTATCATATTTTGCCCACAGTTTATCCCAGAATTGCTGTGATTATGTTGTTGATTTTGAATACTGTTGTTGTTTTGTTGCTGTTGCATTGCATTATGGGTGTTATTTTGCAGCCGGTTTCCACTACTCTGCATGTTTCCGGCCTGAAGTATCTGGCTGTGGTTGTTTCCGCCCATAGCGGAACTGTTGTACATGGACTGCCCGGCCATCAGGTTCCCGTAGAACGCGGGAAGAAATGAAGCAGCATTCTGAGCATTGGCGATACTAGTTATGACTGAGGCTGCACTGGTGTTGGTGTTCATCATTGTTGAGTTATTTGCCGTGAACAAGTTCTGCTGGTTTTGTTGCTGCTGCTGTTGGTGAAGACTAGAACCCATGGATGCATTTACGGCGTCCAGTTTGGATGCGATCAAAGCGGGGTCCGGAACTAGTCCACTGAAAGGGGAGAACTGGGCAGCTAGTGAGGCGGTGGGGGCTGTGTTTGCAGCGAAGAAGTTCATCGGATTCGTGAACCAGTTGTTGGCACCTGGAGTGCTGTGAGGGACGCCTGTTGGCTTGAAGAAACTGGCTGCTTGTGGGTTCAGAGAGCCGAACATACCTGAAATTAAAGAACACAAGTTTAGTTTGTGGTGTTCTCATTAAAATCATTGTTCATGAATGAACGGTAAAAATGATCTTCTTAAGGCGTATCTTTATAACTTTTTCTGTCATAGAAAAAATATTGATTTTTTACTTGCCGTGGAATTTTTTTCGGATTTTTATTTCGATGTTTTCGGAAATCAATTTGTTCTTTAAGTAGTTTTTTTCCCCCAATTGTTTTCAGTTTGGAAATTCAACCCTGATTTCTAATTTTTTGAAGATATTGTGCGTTGTGACGTAAAAGTGTGACAAACCTGCAGTGGCAGCTGGGTGTGCGAACAGTCCTCTGGCAGTGGAGAGGGGATCATTGAAACTGGCGATGTATGGCATCGGGAACCCATATCTGTCCTTCTTCAGAAACGACTTGGGTTTCCTTCTAGGCCTGTACTTGTAGTCGGGATGCTCTTTCATGTGCAGCGCCCGAAGCCGCTTCGCCTCGTCAATGAATGGTCGTTTCTCCGAGTCCGACAACAGTTTCCACTCAGCACCGAGTCGTTTGGATATTTCCGAGTTGTGCATTTTCGGGTTGTCTTGAGCCATTTGTCGCCTCTTTCCACGACTCCAAACCATGAAGGCATTCATTGGACGTTTGACATGGTCGCTGTCCTTTCCTTCGGTTGAATTTGTCGGACTTAGAGACATTCTTTCTTCTTGATTTGTGATTGATTCGCAAGTTTTTATCTTTCTTCAGGAAAATAACGGAATTAGTTTTTTGCTGAATAGTTTTTGAAATTTACTGAAAGTTTTTTTAACGAACTGATTCGTATTCGATGTTTTTATTGACTGTTTTTATTGAGTTTTGACAAATTGAAATGGAGTGTGTGTTTGTGAAGGTGTAAAAGGAAGGAAGTGAAATAATGATCTTATGGACTTAAATTGTGGCAAGTAGCTTTTAAAAATTAATGTCAAATTTCAATTGGATTGCAGTTGTTAAGTGCTGCTGCTGGAGTTGAAATTATGCTTCAGGTATTCACCTATTGAGCTCCATCAGCAAGGAACCAGCTTGAATGTGATTGGACAATCATTCCAACAAATAGGAGAATAGATATCTTCAAATTGATTTACTCAGTGTAATACAGGATGTAAGATGTAACAAAGTATATTGATTCTAAAATGAATTAATGATAATAATCGTACCCTATCGCTATCATAATTAGGTCCAATGGTGACAAAATGTCAATTAAGTTTAACTATTAAATTTGGTTTCACGTGTTGGGAGCAAACATACCTCAACTGGGTTGACCGGAAGCATCAAAAATTGATTTGATTGATTTACAGATGTAGTTTGTATGCTTTGTAAGAGATATCTCTTGTAAATTGGGGCCAGAAGAAATCCCCGCTGTTGGTTTAGTGCTCATTTAGGTAGCTGGTCAAATTTGGTCAGTCTTTGTAGCTTGAAATATCATCACTTCTCAAGTGAATTTATTGGTTTAATTTATACCGGCATTGGCCAAGTAGTGTTGAAAGGTTGTTTGGGTGTTTGTTGTGCAGTCAATATCAGTTTATGATTTGATGGTTAATTATCATAATCAACTTGATAAGGTGTTTGAATGACAAGTACAATTCACTCTCACTTCCTTTGGCGGATCTTAATTGATTTCATTGATCTGTTGTTGCAAAGTTTGCCAATTCATTTCAAATACGCACTTTACCAGATAAAGCCTCTCACATTCAAGTTTTATGTTTGCTTTTGTGATCCTCTTGTAATTTACAATCAACATCTACCGCGCGCTCTTCGATGTATAATCAATGATGTAGAGTACTCTCTAGGCCAGCTCTTCGGTTTATGATCAATGATGTTGAGTATTCTCCAGGCCAAACCAGTCGTGTTTTCAACAAGCCACTACGATGGTATCAAAGATCCGACAGCCACGCACACACAAGAAACTTAGATCTGCAGCTGTATTGAGTTCCAACAATTGGATGAAGTTAATTTATGCGCCAAGATACGCTGTTTTAGAAGGGCGCGCGAGAAAATATATACTGTTTGTTGGAATCCTTCAAAAAAGTGCCATAATGGACATTCTCAGCACGTTTGCTCAGAAATTCGCATGTGGCGCAGAAGTTGTTGGCTCTGATATCACGTATCAATTGCTTCAGGAGAACTGAAAAATTTAAAATGACGAAACTACCTACCTCTGAAAGTGGGGAGCAGCGTTGTCTTCGGATGTTTCTTGTGTTTAATTTTTTTCTCGTAAAATCAGACACCTCAAACGATCATCAGAACTGAGTCGAGTGATGTATCATATAGAAACCCCTTCACAGTCGTGATTCGAACGACATTAAAAGGACCAGAAAGTTTTCTCAGCGTAGAAACCCTTTCACAGTCGTGATTCGAACGACATTAAAAGGACCAGAAAGTTTTCTCAGCGTCGAGAAAAACCAGTTTGAAATTTTTTGTCTTTTAGTCTGAATTTCGAGCAAGTAAAGCGATTGAGTACTTTTTTTAACAGGAAGCTTTTGTTTAAGCTGTTAAAGCCTTAGTTTTCTCCAGGAAAACTAGTTTTTGATTATTAATTGTGGTTTTCCCTGCAAAAAAAAAACAAATGCAATTGTAGTATATTATGCTACCTTTGGTAATGTTATAAGCTTTATCTTGTTTTTCTCATCACACCAGGCACAGAAACGCACTCAGTTTTTAAAAGAAAAAGTACCTTTTTGAAAGTTTTTTTCTCAAAATCTTTGTGGTCGGAACTTTCTCTACTACTTCCACAACTGTCGGCTACTCTAGCTGATTATTAGATAAGGAACATTCTTGAAATTCATTAGTTTTCGCGTGATCTTTTTTCTTGTTGAAATTTGAATGATCTTAAAAGCTTTTTGGTTTCCTTTAGTGGATTTAATATTTTCCAAATGTATGATGGCTATATTGATGCTTTGTAAAGATACTTTTGCCATTTGATTCTTTTTGCCCAGTGCAGCTTCGCCTCTGTCAAAATGCAAATCGCGCTTGGTTGTCTTTCAGTTTCAATAGTGGATTTCAATTCCAGTGGAAAAATATGATCATTGATTTTGTGTTCTCAAATTGGGTTAGTTTGATCAAAAACGGTGATAAAAAAATTTGAGGTCAAATAAATATTTTCTTGACATTACGAAAGTTAAAAATTTTTCAAAAAAGTCATTTTTCAAACTAGTTATTATCTGTTTGAGTTCAATTCTTACTCTAGCGACGAGCATAATGTATTAGTACTAACCTTATTTTTTCTAACCGAACTCGCAAATAAAAATGTTCACTGAATGTGGAAGTGTTCACTTTTTTGCTATAATCACGATCTGTAGCATTGGAAATTTCATAGCATCTGCTCTCTGCTTTATTGTGGCTAGTATTTGCAATTTATCAAGCGTCATTGGCTAAGAGGTTAGTGCGTGAGACTCATATTCTCTAGGTCGCTATAGGTCGCAGATTGAATCCGAGACGTACCCGAACTTTTACTAATTCGAGGCTTATTTCTACTTTTTCTTATTGCTCTTTATAGAACTGTTTTTTCTTTTTGGGATATCGCTAGTGTTTGCGGAGCGAAGTTTCGCCTGTGTGTCAAACAAGTCATTTTTCAAACAAGTTTTATCTGTTTCAGTTGATTCACCTTTCAGTTGATTCACCGAATTTAAGTGGTACGTCCCCTCCCTCAGGGGTTCGACCGCCTCACCGGCCCCTTTTGGTATTATTGGTAACACATTTATTTTCGGCGCGCAACCCGCAAGTTTTTCTAAAGGCGTTTTTGGCGCCAATATGTACTAATTTTGAACAAGAGCGTGTGCCAAAAAATTGTCACCCATTTTTTTTTCAAAAATTTACCTGCGGTGCAGAAATCTTTGTCAAAATAGGATCTTTTTAGTGCTCTGAGAGCGCTTCATAAATTTGATTGACCTGAAAAAAGGTCAACAAAATTATGGGCAACTTTTTAAAAATCCGCCCCCATGCACCCTCGAGAGAATCCTAGATCCGCCCCTGGCTATGTTATCGATGTATCAAAGTTTTCTTGTTGTGTCTCTCTTCTAATTTCCTGAATTACCTCTGCAAGATTGTGTTTTGCTTTTGAAGTGAGTGAAGATCTGAATGAAAATTTTTTTTCCTTAGCTAGGCAAATATTTGTCAAATCTGGTCTGACTTCGAATGTTGTATTTTGATTAATTCATCCATTTTCCTTAATTTTTGCTTCGTTTTTTTTAATCATAATGGAATATATTAGCTATGGAAGAATCGGAGCCGAAGAATTGTATGCTCGTTTATAGTTTATTTATTCATTTGAACTGAAAAATCGACCCTTTTGTGTCATAGAAGTCAGCCTGAAAATCCAAACTGCTTAGATGGGAGGCAGGTTCACTGCACCTGGAAGAAGGGACTTCTCTTGAGTTAGTTTCAAAGCTTTCTTTTCGTGCATTTTTCAAGCAATGTTTGAGCAATGAGGGCCAGCTGTTCAAATTTTTCGCAGTTTTATATTTTATCTTATGTTAAAAGAAACGTGCTTTGTATTTTTTAGGCTGAATTATTGAAAGTGGTTCGTTTTGCGCAAATACTGGAATCTATTGTCTTTCCATAATAGCATAGATTGTTGAAAAATTGGCTGAAGCCTCGTATTTTTCCCATAATGGAACAAGATATTCAACAAAATAGCCCAGAATCATGGACAAGGAGACAATTCGTCATTATGAAATTATAGCATTAAGAACAAGCTATGATTTGTATCAATGTGTTTTAAACTCGATTTAGAGGTAAGTAGCTCAGCGAAACATTCAAATCCGACATCCGATAACGCCATGTTCGTTTCGTTTCAAGTCAAACTTCAATTAATCAATGCACGACTTAAAAAAATTTTTGAATCGTTGCGTAATGTAGCTTTCAATGAATGGACGCCTCGAGAATATAATATATGGGCAAATTCCACTTGTAGGATGTTCTGGCACATATATTTGTTTTTGTTGGTGAAAGAAATGTTTGTCTCAATGTCCTGATTTTTTTTCGTTCATGGCTTTCATGATATACAGATTTGTTTCAATGATGGTTTTTTCTCTGATTCAAAGTCAAGTCAAAGCAATTCAGCTAAAGTAAAGGAACAATTGGGGCTAAACATTAAAGACAAAATATGCGCATGGTTGTAGACAAATTTTCATCAAAGCTTTAATCGGGAGACAGTTAATTATTCATTGCCAGTCAACTGCGCATAACTTGTTCTTTAATGACTGAATTGTCATTTGGCTGCATTGTCTCGACTTGAAGTAGGCTAACAAAAAACTTTTATTTTGAGCTAATTTTTTTGCTGATGGGTTGCCAGAACGTCGCGGCTAGTTACTGGAAAATAATCTGAACAAAAACACGAAAAAGATAGTTTTTAATCTTTTTTTTTTCGATTTCTGTAATAATCAAGAAGAACGAAGAGTGGACGTACTATTTAGCTCTGATAAGTAAATAATAATGTTTAATATTGTTATATCACTACATAAACACAATTTTCACCCCCCCTTCCTCTACTAACCCTCCGGAAATACAAAAGGCGAAAAATTTTAAAGAATTTCAGAACTTCATAGCTCACAATTTTCCTTAACACCAATTTTGTTTTCGGCTCACCAGGGGTTTACCGAAAATTTGTCAGCTTAGTTACTGCTCGATAAATGTTTCCGAAAACTTATTTAACGCAAGCTATTTTTTTGCTGGACGTGTTTGTCTTAAATTGAACATCAATTCAAACAAAATTGTGAAGTTTTTGTTATCGTGGTATTTCGACTTATTGGCTTTCGGTTCGTTTTTTGATGTGTCTGTTGTCTGTTTTATTTTTTTGCTAGAAGTTTATTATTCGGCTTAAATGGCATCAGCTTTTTGAATATCGGCTCAGTCTCAGCCGCCTTATATTGCATCACTTGAAGAGCGAAAATGTATTTTTTGCATGTGTGTGCTTCGGGAGATTCCAAATCTTCAAAGAGTTACAAAACATCTAACGCGGGCAACTGTGTTCGTGGATTGTTTTCCTCAAATTAAACTCGATTGGAGACAAAATATTTTTTTGACAGTGGACTCTGGCTCATTCGCGGGCGGTTAGGATGGCATTTTCTGTTTGTGTTGTATTGTAAGTGTGAGAGTTTTTTCCGGTGAGACAGAACAGTTAAAAAATTTAAGCTTTTCAGATTAATTCAGAGCGAAGAGTTAATTAATCAAGTAGCCGATAAACTCTTTTCCGTCAGCAATTATGTCACTAAAGAGACAAAGATTTTTCTGTTAAAATTTAGTTAAGTTAGCACTCTCCTCTTAAAAAATGAAATAAAAAATCCCCATTTTTTTTCAGAGAAAACTGGTCAGTAACATTCCGGGTTTCTTGTTCAGCAACAGCAAATAGCTAGTCTAGAAATTATTTTTGGAACAACTCTCTAGATTTATCTGAAGATTAATTATTAAGGGTAAGATCTAACATTTACACCAAGGGGTCAATTCTCAACTTTTTAAAGAATTTATCGATTCTTTTCATCTCTGAATCAAGTTGGTTTCCAAGCATTTGTACAATTTGATCTTCATAAAATACCATTGTTGGGCAATTTTTGTAAAGATTGATTATAAATGTGTTAAGTAGAATTGAAAAGTATCATAAAATAGCTGTAAAAGGTTTCTTCTCGGGTGATCGGTTAAGGATTTGAACTCCGGACAGTGATTTGCGCATCGGGTACTGTTGCTTGCTTAATCATCTATAAGTCATAGCTTACATATTGAACCGCAACGAGTTTCCAAGTTCTCCTT